CTGGTCCCAGTCCAGCTCCCAGTTTGGGCTCCCAGTCCCTTCCAGTCCCCCCCCAGTCCCCTCCCAGGCCCTCCCAGTATAACCCAGTGCGCCTCAGTTCCCTCCCAGTCCATCCCAGTTTGATCCCAGTCCCCCCAGTCTCTCCAGTGCCCCCCAATCCTCTCCCAGTTTGATCCCAGTTCATCCCAGTCCCTCCCAATTTATCCCAGTTTGATCCCAGTCCCTCCCAGTTTATCCCAGTTCCCCCTAGTCCATCCCAGTTTGATCCCAATCCCCTCCCAGTTTATCCCAGTCCCTCCCAGTTTGATCCCAGTCCATCCCAGTCCGTCCCAGTCTCTTCCAGTTTATCCCAGTCCATCCCAGTCTCTCCCAGTTTGATCCCAGTCCCCCCCAATCCCCTCCCAGTCCATCCCAGTCCCTCCCAGTTTATCCCAGTCCATCCCAGTCTCTCCCAGTTTATCCCAGTTTGCCGTTCCAGGTCGGGGAGATTTTCTCGGCCGCCGGCGCCGCCTTCACTCGCCTGGGGGAGCTGACGATGCAGCTGCACCCGGGGACCGACAGCTCCCCCGCGGGGTGAGGGGGGATTTTGGGGAAATTTGGGGGGTCCTGGCGGGTTTGGGGAAAATTTGGGAAAAATCCGGCAAATTTTGGGGGGGTTTGGGGCAGTTTTGGGGGGATTTGGAGTCCTTGGGGGGGGGAGATTTTGGGGGATTTGGGGACGCCTGGAGGGTCCTGAGGGGGATCTGGGGGTCTCCAGGGGAGATTTGAGGAGGTTTTGGAGGGTCCTGGGGAAATTTGGGAAAATTTGGGGAAGATTTGAGGGAGATTTTGGGGGGGTATTTGGGTGTGGTTTGAGGTCCTTGTGGGGAGATTTTGAGGAAGTTTTGGGGGGTCCTGGGAGATTTTGGGGGGTCTTGGGGGGTCTGGGGGATTTGGGGAAAATTTGGGGTGGATTTGGGGCCATTCTATGGAGATTTGAGGGAGTCCTGGGGAGATTTGGAGAAAATTTGGGGAGATTTGGGGAGGGTTTGAGGGATTTGGGGTCCCTATGATGAAATTTGGGGTGCTCATGGGAGATTTGAGGAGGTTTTGGGGGTCCTGGGAGGGTTTGGGGGTCCCTTGGAGGAATTTCGGGGGATTAGGGAAAATCTGGGGAGGGGTTGAGGGGATTTTGGGGGTTCCTGGGAGGGTTTTGGGGTCATTTTGGGGAAATTTGGGGTCCTGAGGGGAGGTTTGAGGGGGTTGTCGCTGCTCTGTGGGGCCACGTCGCAATTCCAAACCCCCCAAAATCCCCCAAAACCCCTTCAAATCCCCCCAAAATTGCCCAAAATTTCCACCAGGACCCCCCAGATTCCATTCAGCCCCCCAAAATCCCCGGGATCCCCCCCCAAAATTTTCAGGATCCCCCCAAAATCCCCCAGGTCCCACTGGATGGAGCTGGAGCTGACACTGCTCCACGGGGCTGTGTCACAATTTCAAACCCCCCAAAATCCCCCCAAAACCCCTTCAAATCCCCCCAAAACTCCCCTAAATCTTCTTCAGGACCCCCACATTCCCTTTGGACCCTCAAAATCCCTGGGGAACACCCCCAAAATGTCCAGGATCCCCCCCCAAAATCCCCCAGGCCCCACTGGACGGAGCCGGAGTTCTCACTGCTCCGTGGGGCTGTGTCCCGATTTGGGGAGGACCTGAACCCCCCCAAATCCCCCCAGAAACCCCCAAAAACCCCTTTAAATCTCCCCAAAACTTCCAAGAATTTCCACCAGGACCCCCAAAATTCTCTCAAATCCCCCCAAAATTTTCAGGACCCCTCCAAATCTCCCCACGTCCCACTGGACGGAGCTGGAGTTCTCGATGCTCCACGGGGCTGTGTCACGAATTCAGACCCCCCAAAATCCCCTCAAATCCCCCCAAAACCGCCTCAAATCGCACCAAGACCTTCTTAGGACACCCCAGATTCCCTCAAATTCCCCCAAAACTTCTGGGGTCTCCCCTAAAATTCTCAGGAGCCCCCCAAAACCCCCAGGTCCCACTGGACGGAGCCGGAGCTGGCACTGCTCCGCAGGGCTGTGTCCCGAATTGGGGAGGACCTGAACCCCAAAAAACCCCCTCAAATCACCCCCAAACCCCCTCAAATCACCCCTAAAGCTCTCCAAGAGTCCCCAGATTCCCTCAAATCCCCCCAAAACCCGCAGGGTCCCCCCAAAAACCCCCCCAGGTACCGCTGGACGGAGCCGGAGCTGTCGCTGCTCCACGGGGCCGTGTCGTGATTCGGGGGGGACCTGAACCCCCCAAAACCCCCCGAATCCCCATCGAATCACCCCAAAACCCCCTCAAATCACCCCAAAACTTCCCTAAATCTCCCCGAAAGTCCCCCACAGTTTTCTTCAGGATCTCCTAAATTCCATCTGGACCCCCAAAATTCTCAGGGTCCCCCCAAAACTCCCCAGGTCTCACTGGACGGAGCTGGAGTTCTCGCTTCTCCGCGGGGCTGTGTCCTCATTTCGAGCCCCCCAAAACCCCCTCAAATCACCCCAAAACCCCCTCAGATCACCCCAAAACTTCCTCAGGTCGTCCCAAGACCCCCCAAAAAGCCCAAAAATCCCCCCAAAAACCCCCCAGGTCCCGCTGGACGGAGCCGGAGCTGGCGCTGCTCCGCGGGGCCGTGTCCCGATTCGGGGAGGACCTGAACCGCCTCAGCGCCCTCATCAAGGACCGCACGGTGTAAGGGGGGGTCCGGGGCGGGGATTTTGGGGTGTCCCCCCCCAAAAAAAACCCCAAAAAACCCCCAAAATTCCCCCAAAATCCCCCTCAGGGCGCAGCTGAAGGCGGCGGCCAAGCGCAAAGCCTACGAGGACAGCGGGGTCCCCCTGCCCCCGCCCGGCGCTGACTCCCCCAAAAAGGGACCCCGAAAAAACCCCCCCGGCTCTGGGGGGGCCCCCCACGACCCCCCCGGGCCCCCCGGGAAGAAGCTGAAGGTGGCAGGTGAGGGATTTTGGGGGTTTTTGGGTTAATTTTGGTTCATTTTTGGGGTTCATTTTTGGGGTTCCCCCTCTTTAATTTTGGGGCTGCTTTTCCCTCATTCTTTAATTCTGGGGATCCCCCCCAATTAATTCTGCCCCCCCCCTCCCCCCTTTAATTTTGGGGTTTTTTTGTCCCCTCGCCTTTAATTTTGGGGTTCCCCTGGTCGATCCCCTTTAATTTTTGGGGCGCCCCCCAATTAATTTTGGGGTCTCTTTTCCCTCATTATTGAATTTTATATTTAATTTAATATTATTTCATTTTCCCCCATTATTTAATTCCCCCTTTAATTTTGTGGGGTTTTTTGCCCCACCTCCCCCCCCATTAATTTTGGGGTCTCTTTTCCCCCATTATTTAATTTTAGGGACCCCCCCCTCTTTAATTTTGGGGCCCCCCCCTTTAATTTTGGGCTCCCCCATTAACTTAGGGCTCCCCCTTTAATTTTGGGGTGTCCCCCCCCCTTGAGTTTTGGGATTTCTTTGACCCCTTCCCGTTAATTTTGGGGTCCCCCCCCCCTCCCCCAGAGCCCCCCCCGAGTGACTCCGACCCCCCCGGGGACCTCGTGGACGTCGAAGGATTTGGGGACCCCCCCCCCAAGAAGCTGAACTTTGACCAGGGTACGACCCCGACCCCCCAAAAAAAAACCCCCAAAATTTGGGGGGAACTCCCCCAAAATTTGGGGGGTCCCCTCACCCCTTCCCCTTTTTCCAGCAGCCTGAAGTCGGACCCCCCCAAAGGACCCCCCAAAACCCCCAGGACCCCCCCAAAACCCCCAAATTTCTCCCTGAACCCCCAAATTTTGGGGGTCCCCAAATCCCCCTCAGTTTTGGGGTCATCCCCAAATTTGGGGACCCCTCCCCTTTGTTTCCCCCAATAAAATTTTGGGGTGTCCCCCCCATTTGTCTCCGTGTCGTGTTTTTGGTCCTGCCTCGATTTTGGGGTTCCCCCCCCCCCCATCCCCAAAATTTGGGTTTTCCTCTGAATTTTTGGGGTTCTCCTCCCATTTTTGGGGTCCCCCCCCATGAGTCAGGTTTGGGGTTGAGCCTTTATTGGGGTCACACCGAAGACGAGACTGGGGGAGCCCCCAAATTTTGGGGTCCTGGAGGGTTTTTGGGGGGGAATTCTGGGATTTTGGGATCGATTTTTGGGGTGTCCGGGGCTCTTTTGGGGTGCCTGATGATGATTTTGGGGGGGTCTGGGAGCGGTTTTGGGGTTTCAGGGGCATTTTGGGGGTGTTGAGTGGGTTTTGGGGTGTCCCTGGAGAGATTTTTTTGGGTTCCTGGGTGGATTTTTTGGGGTTCCTGGGTGGATTTTTGGGGTCTCAGGTGAATTTTGGGATGCTCTGGGTGGATTTTAGGATTCCTGGATGGATTTTGGGGTGCCCCGGGCGGTTTTGGGGTTCCTGGGTGAGGTTTTGGGGTCTCTGGGTGGATTTTTGGGATTTCTGGGTGGGTGTTTTTGGTTCCTGGATGGATTTTGGGGAATCCTAGGTGGATATTTGGGATTCCTGGGTGGGATTTTTGGGTTCTCTGGATGGATTTTTGGGGTGCCCCAGGTGGATTTTAGGATTCTTGGATGGATTTTGGGGTACCCCGGTTGTGTTTTGGGGTTCCTGGGTGGATTTTTAGGATTTCTGGGTGGATTCTTTGGGTTCCTGGATGGATTTTGGGGTGTCCCAGGTGGATATTTGCGATTCCTGGATGGATTTTAGGATTCCTGGCTGGATTTTGGGGTGCCCCGGGCGGTTTTAGGGTTCCTGGGTGAGGTTTTTTGGGTTCCTGGATGGATTTTTGGGGTGTCCCAGATGGATTTTGGGGTGTTCTGGGTGAGGTTTTGGGGTATCCTAGGTGGATATTTGGGGTATCCTAGGTGGATTTTAGGATTCCTGGATGGGATTTTTTTGGTTCCTGGAGGAGTTTTGGGTTCTCTGGATGGAGATTTGGGGTTCCCGGATGGATTTTAGGGTTCCTGGCTGGATTTTGGGGTGCCCCGGGCGGTTTCGGGGCGCCCTACAGGGGCTGGCAGCGCTCCTGGCGGCTGTAGAGCTCGAATTGGCTCTTCCAGCGCATCATGTACGAGCTCCAGCGGTGAAACTCCAGGCGCCACTGCCGCTCCGCCTCCTCCATGGGGCCTGCGGAACCCCAAAATCTCACATGGGCACCCCAAAAACGTCCCCCAAAACATCCCCAAAAAAATCTCCAGAAAAAAAAACCCCAAAACCACCCCAAAAAACCCCAATAAAAGCACCCAAAATCCCCGGTGCTGCTGCCGCTCCGCCTCCTCCATGGGCCCTGCAGAGCCCCCAAATCTGACAAGGGCACCCCAAAAAAACCCCAAATGTGTCCCCAAATGTCCCCAATGTCCCTCCCACATCCCCGATGTCCCCAATCTCCCCAAAGTCTTCAATGTCCCCAGTGTCCACAAATGTCCCCAATGTCCCCAAGTCCCCCCCAATGTCCCCGAATGTCCCCGAATGTCCCCCCAGTGTCCCCAATGTCCCCAGTGTCCCCAATGTCCCCAATCCTCCCAGAGTCCTCAATGTCCCCCCTGTGTCCTCATGATCCCCAATCCCACCAATGTCCCCGCAGTGTCCCCAGTGTCCCCAAATGTCCCCAGCATCTCCAAAATCCCAAATCCCCCCGATGTCCCCGAATCCCCTCAATGTCCCCCCAATGTCCCAAATGTCCCCAATGTCCCCCCAGTCCCCCCAGTGTCCCCAATCTCCACACTGTCCCAAACCCCCTCAATGTCCCCAACATCCCCAATGTCCCTGAATGTCACCAATCCCCCAACATTCCACAATCCCCCAATGTCCCAAATGTCCCCAACCCCCCCCCCCATGTCCCCAAATGTCCCCAATGTCCCTGGTGTGTCCCCATCACCCCAACGTGCCCAATCCCCCCAACATCCCCATGACCCCAAATCCCCCAATGTCCCCAATGTCCCCAATGTCCCCAAATCCCCCCAATCCCCCCAATGTCCCCAATGTCCCCAATGTCCCCAAATCCCCCCAATGTCCCCAATGTCCCCAATGTCCCCAAATCCTCTCAATGTCCCCAAATCCCCCCAATCCCCTCAATGTCCCCAATGACTGTAATGTCCCCAATGTCCCCAATGCCCCCAATCCTCCAATGTCCCCAGATCCCCTCAATATCCCCAATGTCCCCAAATCCCCTCAATGTCCCCAATCCCCTCAATGTCCCCAAATCCCCCCAATCCCCCCAATGTCCCCAATCTCCCCGCCGTCCCTCACCGGTGACGTTGAGCAGTTTGGGCAGGAAGCGCGTCCAGAACGCGCAGGCCTGGGCGCGCAGGCCCTGGGCCACGGCGAGCGGCCGCGCGTTGAGCCGGGCGTAGCTCTGCCCCGACGCCGTGTAGGACGGCCAGCGCCGCTCGCGCTCCGACGGCTCGTTGGGGTCACTGCGATGGGGATGGGTCAGGCAAGGGTGTCCAACTCAACCCAACTCAACCCAACTCAACCCAACTAAGGTCATCCAACTCAACCCAACTCAACCTCAACCCATCCAAGGTCATCCAACTCAACTCATCCAAACTCAACCCAACTCATCCAAACTCAACCCAACCCAGCCAAGGGCGTCCAACTTAACCCAACTCAACTCAACCCAACCCAACCCATCCAACTCATCCAAACTCATCCAAACTCAACCCAACCCAGCCAAGAGTGTCCAACTCAACCCAACTCAACCCAACCTAACTGAGGTCATCCAACTCAATTCATCAGAATTCTACTCAACCCAACTCATCCAAACTCAACCAAACCCAACTGAGGGCATCCAACCCAACTCAACCCAACCAAACTCAACCAAGGGTATGCAACTTAACCCAACCCAACTCAACCCAACTCAACTCAACCCATCTGAGGTCATCCAACTCAACTCATCCCAAACGAGGGTGTCCAACTCAACTCATCAGAATTCAACTCAACCCAAGTCATCCAAACTCAACCCAACCCAGCCAAGGGCGTCCAACTCATCCAAACTCAATCAAACCCAACTGAGGGCATCCAACTCAACTCAACTCAAGTGAGGGCATCCAACTCAACTTATCACAATTCAACTCAACCCAACTCATCCCAACTCAACCAAACCCAACTGAGGTCATGTAACCCAACCCAACTCAACTTAACCCAGGTCAACTCAACTCATCCAAACTCAACCCAACCCAACCAAGGGCATCCAACCCAACTCAACTCATCCCAACTTAACTCATCCAAACTCAACCCAACCCATCTGAGGCCGTCCAACTCAACTCATTGCAACTCAACCCAGCCGAGAGCATCCAACCCAACTCAAGCCAACCCAAGTCAACCCAACTCAACTGAGGTCATCCAACCCAACTCATCCAAACTCAACTCATCCCAACTGAGGTCATCCAACCAAACTCATCGCATCTCAATCCAACCCAACCCAACCCAACTCATCACAACTCAACTCAAGGCAACTCAACTCAACCCAACTCAACAAGCCCCAACCCCATCCCGCGCCGTACCCGGTGCGTGCGAAGTTCCCCCAGTATCTCATGATGCGCCGGCTCAGCGCCTCCTCCTCGGCCGTGTAGTTGAGCCCGGGGTTGAGCGGCTGCCCGAACACGAACTCGATCTCGTAGCCGTGCGGCACGCCCATCCACGGCGGCCACAGCAGGTTGGACGCGCGGTGATCGAACAGGTACGCGAAGACCGTCCCGCCGCGCTCGGCCCAGCGCTGCGCGAAGTGCATCAGCGGGCACACCACGTTGTGGTCGCCCACGATGTCGTCCAGCGCCTCGCGGTTCTTGACGGGGTTGTCCTGGTCCAGCCAGTCGGTGTACTGCAGCACCACGGCCTCGGCCGCCAGCTCGTTGGCCTGGGGCACGCCGAGCCGCACGCCGCCCAGGAACTCCTCGCGGCTGATCAGGCTCTCGTTGTCCTTGCCGAAGCCCGGCACGCCGTACACCAGGAAATAGGTGCCCTCGTCCTGCACGGCGCCCAGCAGCACCTCGGCCTCGGCGCGGCCCGGCGCGGCCAGCAGCGCCTCGGGGGCGTCGGCCAGGAACTCGCCGTCCACCACGGGCACGAAGGCGAAGCGGAAGACGCCCTGCTGGGGCAGCACGGCCGCCTCGTGCTCCACCAGCCGCGGCGGCGGCGCGGCGCGCAGGCACGACAGCAGCTCCGTCTCGTCGGTCACCGCGCCGCCCGCGCCCGCGCCGCCGCACCCCACCAGCCGGCCCAGCCGCGCCGCCCGGCGCCGGCCCTCGGCGGCGCCCACCGTGGCCCAGGGGCCGTTCGGGGAGCCGCTCTGCAGCACGGCGCGGCGGAACAGGCCCCGGCTGCCCCCCGAGAGCAGGTGCAGCCCCACCGAGGCCGCGCCGGCGCTCTCGCCGAACAGCGTCACCGCGCCGGGGTCGCCGCCGAACGCCGCGATGTTGGCCTGCACCCAGCGCAGCGCCAGGCGCTGGTCCAGCAGCCCGACGTTGCCCGGCGCTTCGGGGTGGCCCGGCAAGGCCAAAAACCCCAGCGCCCCCACCCGGTAATTCATGGAGACCACCAGCACGCCCTCGGCCGCGGCCAGGAACCGCCCGTCGTACACGTCCAGCGAGGCGGCGCCGCTGTAGAAGCCGCCGCCGTAGATCCACACCAGGACCGGCGCCGGCGTTTTGGGGCGCGGCGCCGGCGCCCAGATGTTGAGGTACAGGCAGTCCTCGCTCATCTCGCGGTTGGGGTTCCACATCTCGGAGCCGCCGAAGCCGGGGAACATGGTGTCCACGGGCTGGAAGCAGGCGTGCGGGTGGGAGAGGGCGTCCAGGACCCCTCCCCAGGGCCGGGCGGGGCGCGGGGGGGCGAAGCGCAGGGGGCCCACGGGGGGCTCGGCGTAGGGGATCCCCAGAAAGGCGGCGGCGAGCGAGGAGGGGCCGGCGGCGACGTGGAAGCCGCGGACGGAGCCGGAGGAGGTGGAGACCAGCAGGTCCTCGGGGGGGGCGGCGGTGGGGGAAATTGGGGAGGGGGCGAGGACGAGGAGGAAGAGGAGGAGGAGGAGGAGGGGGGAGGGGAGCGGTGGGGATGGGTGACCCCCCATGGCGGCGGAGGCTGCGGAGAGAGAGAGAAATTGGGGGGTTAATGGGGGGGCTTGGGGGATCGTTGAGGGGTGGGGAGGGGGCGGGAGATGGGGAGGGGTCCCAAATTGGGTGGGAGTTGGGGAGGGGGTCCACAATTGGGGAGGGGTCCCAAATTGGGTGGGAGTTGGGGAGGGGGTCCACAATTGGGGAGGGGTCCCAAATTGGGTGGGAGTTGGGGAGGGGGTCCACAATTGGGGAGGGGTCCCAAATTGGGGTGGGATTTAGAGAGGGGGGCTCCATTTGGGATGGGAATTGGGGTGGGGTCCCCATTTAGGGAGGGGTCACAAATTAGGGTTGGGAATTGGGGAGGGGTCCCAAATTGGGGTGGGAGTTGGGGAGGGGGTCCGCAGTTGGGGAGGGGTCCCGAATTGGGGTGGGAGTTGGGGAGGGGTCTCCATTTCAGGGGGGTTTGGGGGGTCCCCAATGGTGCAGGGGATGTCCAAGTGGGTGGGAGTTGAGAAGGGGCCTCATTTTGGGTGGAATTTGGGGAGGGGGCTCATCTTGGAAGGGATTTGGGGGTCAGCAGGGGGGTTTGGGTGTCCTCTCATGGTGAGGAGTGGGTGGGAGTTGGGGAGGGGTCTCCATTTGGGGAGGGGTCCCAAACTCGGTGGGAAATGGGGTGGGGTCTCCATTTGGGTGGGAGTTGGGGAGGGGGTTTATTTTGGGTGGAATTTGAGGGGGGGGTCCCAAGTTGGGTGGGATTTGGGGGGGGTTAGAGGGGGGGTTTGGTGTCATTGAGGGTGGGGAGGGGGTGGGAGTTGGGGAGGGGTCTCAATTTGGGGAGAGGTCCCCATTTGGGGTGGGATTTGGGGAGGGGTCCCAAATTGGAGAGGGGGCTCATTTTTAGGGGGGATTTGTGGAGGGGTCCCAAATTAGAGTGGGGAATGGGGAGGGGTCCCCAGTTGGGTAGAGGTCCCAAATTGGGGGGCATTTGTGGGGGTCTCCAGTTGGGGAGGGGTCTCCATTTGGGTGGGAGGTGGGGAGGGGTCCCAAATTGGGGAGGGATTTGGGGGGGGGGGGGTCTCCAATTGTGGAGGGGTCCCAAACTGGGGAGACTTGGGGAGGGGTCCCCATTTGGGTTGGATTTGGGGAGGGGTCCCCATTTTGGGTTGGATTTGGGGAGGGGGCTCCATTTTGGGTTGGATTTGGGGAGGGGGCTCCATTTGGGTGGAATTTGGGGGGGGGGGGGGTCATGGGGGGTTTGGGGGTGTCCCCCCCTCCCAAAACTCATCATGAAACCCCCCCCCCCCCCCACCCCGTTCCATTTTGGGGGGGTTTGGGACCCCTCCCCAATTTATCCCAGTTTCTCCCAGTTCATCCCAGTGCCCCTCTCCCCCATAGAGACCCCTCCCCAATTTATCCCAGTTGTTCCCAGTTGATCCCAGCGCCCCTCCCCCCCTACAGGGACCCCTCCCCCCACTCCCCCCGCCCCTCCCCCCCCTTTGGGCAGGTGCTGGATCCCAAAATAGAAACAAAAATCCCGAACGGAAATGGGGGAGGGGCGGGGGGGGGGGGAAAACACGGGAGGGGGGCGGGGCCCTGTAGAGACCCCTCCCCAAAATCCCAAATAGGACCCATACAGGGACCCCTCCCCAAATAGAGACCCCTCCCCAAATCCCGTATAGATCCATAGGGACCCCTCCCCAAAATCCCAAATAGGACCCATATAGGGACCCCTCCCCAAATAGGGACCCCTCCCCAAATCCCCTATAGATCCATAGGGACCCCTCCCGAAATCCCCCATAGATCCATAGGGACCCCTCCCCAAAATCTCCTATAGGATCCCCTCCCCAAATAGAGACCCCTCCCCAAAATCCCCCATAGATCCATAGGGACCCCTCCCCAAATAGAGACCCCTCCCCAAAATCCCCTATAGATCCATAGGGACCCCTCCCCAAAATCCCCTATAGGGTCCCCTCCCCAAATAGAGACCCCTCCCCAAATCCCCTATAGATCCAAAGGGACCCCTCCCCAATCCCGTATAGATCCATAGGGATCCCCGGCCCCATAGAGACCCCTCCCCAAATTCCCCAGAGATCCATAGGGACCCTCCCAGCCCCATAGATCCGGCCCTATGGGGACCCCCCGGCCCTATAGAGACCCTCCCCCAAATCCCCTATAGCGACCCCTCCCCAAAATCCCAAATAGATAAATAGGGACCCCTCCCCAAATCCCCTATAGGGATCCTTCGGCCCTATAGGGACCCCTCCCCAAATCTCCTGTAGATCCACAGGGACCCCTCCCCAAATCCCCCATAGGTCTGGCCCTACAGAAACCCCCCAGCCCCATAGAGACCCTCCCCCAAATCCCCTATAGAGACCCCTCCCCAAACCCCCCATCGATCCATAGGGACTCCCCGGCCCTATGGAGACCCCTCCCCAAAATCCCCTATAGATCCATAGGGGGATGCTCGGCCCTATAGGGACCCCCCCCAGCCCCATAGGGCCCCCTCCCCAAATTCCCCATAGATCCATAGGGACCCCTCCCCCACCCAGCCCCGCCCCAAAATGGTACCCGAGGGGGGGGAGGGGAGGGGGGAAAAAGGGGGAGGGGCGATGGAAGGGGTGGGGGTGGGGGGGGGGTCACAGGTGTGGGGGAGGGGCGATTTGGGGAGGGGTCTCGGGGGGAAAGGGGCGATGTGGGAGGGGCCGGAATTGGGGGGGGGGGGGGTCTCAGGTGTGGGGGAGGGGGAGATGCGGGGGGGGGGGGGTCTCAAGGGTGGGGGAGGGATGATGATAAGGGGGGGGGGTCTCTGAGGTGGGGGAGGGGTCTTAAGGGTGGGGGAGGGGTCTCAAGGATGGGGGAGGGGCCCGGATGGGGGGGATCTCAGGTGTGGGGGGAGGGGCAATGGGGGGCTTTCGGGGGGGAGGGGCCATGTGGGGGTCTCTGAGGTGGGGGAGGGGCCCGGATGGGGGTCTCAGGTGTGTGGGGGGAGGGGCGCTGATGGGGCCTCATCCTCCGGTAATCATTAAAAGGGGGGGTGGGGGGGGAGGATGGGGAGGGGTCGCGGGGTGGGGGATGGGGATGATGATGGGGTGGGTGGGTGGGGGGTGGTCGCGGGGGTGGGGGGAGGGGCGGCACCGACCCCCTCGCGCTCCTCGCGTTCTCTCCCCCGGCCTCGCTCCGGCTCCGGCGTCTGGAAAATACCGGGGGGGGGGGGGGGAGGGGGTGGGGGAGGGGCGGCCTTAAATTGAGGGGGGGGGAAGGGGGGGGAGGGGCGGCTCCTTTGGCCCCTCCCCCTCCTGCGGCAGCGCTGCCCCTCCCCCCACCCGCGAGAGCCGGGAAAAGGGAGGGGGGGGAGGGGGGGGGGGGAGGATGAGGAGGATGCGCTGCCCAACCCCCACCCAGGGGGATTTTTTTGGGGGGGGGATTTTGGTGAAATTCGGGAGGATTTTGCGGGGGGGGGGGGATTTTAAGGAAATTTTGGGGATTTTTGGGGGGGATTTGAAAGGGTTTTGGGGGAATTTTGGGGGGGATTTGAAAGGATTTTGGGGGGAATTTTGGGGATTTTGGTGAGATTCGGGAGGATTTTGGGGGGGATTTTAAAGGAAATTTTGGGGATTTTTGGGTGAATTTTGGCGGATTTTTGGGGTAATTACGGGGGAATTTGGGGGATTTTGGGGAGATTTGAGAGGATTTTGGAGGAATTTTGGGGAGATTTTGAGGGATTTAGGGGGAACCTGAGGGATTTGGGGGATTTGAGGGGATTCGGGAAAATTTTGGGGGATCTGGGGGGAATTTTAAATAATCTGAGTGAAATTTGGGGAATTTTGGGGTAATTTTAGGGGAAATTTGGGGCAATTTTGGGGAAATTTTGGGCGGCGGTTGGGGGTAATTTTAGGGTAATTTTAGGGGAAATTTGGGAGAATTTTGGGGGAAATTTGGGGCAATTTTGGGGAATTTTGGGGGAATTGTCCCCCTCGCACCTGTCCCCCAGGTGTGTCCGTCTGTCCCCAGGTGTGTCCCCTCCCCCCCAGGTGTCCCTCTCGTGTCGCGGTTCCCGCCGCTGACGTGTCCCCACGTCTGTCCCCAGGTGTGTCCGTCTGTCCCCAGGTGTGGCCCCAGGTGTTCCCAGGTGTGGCCCCGCCCCCTTTCCTGCTCCCGCCGGCCAAGGGTCACGCGCCCCTCCTCCCATTGGCTGGCGAGGGCGGGGCCGGCGGTGACGTCACGGGGGAAACCCCCGGGGGGACCCTGGGAGAGACTGGGATGGACTGGGAGGGACTGGGATGAACTGGGATGGACTGGGGACAGTTCTGGGATGGACTGGGACAAACTGGGAGAGACTGGGAGGGACTGGGATAAACTGGGACATACTGGGAGGGCACTGGGATGTACTGGGACAGACTGGGAGGGACTGGGAGAGACTGGGATGGACTGGGATGGACTGGGATGGACTGGGATGGACTGGGATGGACTGGGAATGAACTGGGATGGACTGGGATGGACTGGGATGGACTGGGAGGGCACTGGGACATACGGACTTTACGGATCTCGGTGCCACCTCCCTGTCCCCGTCCCCGTGTCCCCGGTGGCCACCAGGACATCTCAGTGTCCCCACTCACGGCGGTGACGTTCCTGTCTCCCCCAACCCGCCGATCCCGGTGTCCCTGCCTGTTCCCATCCCCACGTTCCCATGGACCTCGGTGCCACCCCAACGTCCCCATGGACCTGGGTGCCACCTCCCTGTCCCCACCAATCCCAATGTCCCCTCTGTCCCCATCGCCATGTGCCCACGGACCTCGGTGCCACCCCAATGTCCCCATCCCAATGTCTCCACCCCAATGTCCCCACTGATCTCGGTGCCACACCAATGTCCCCATCCTCATGTCCCCATGGATCTTGATGCCACTCCAATGTCCCGTCCCTGTCCCGCCTGTGTCCCCATGGATCTCAGTGGCACCCCAGTGTCCCCATTGATCCTGGTTCCACCTCTATGTCCCCACCTCAATGTCCCCATCCTCATGTCCCCATGGATCTCGGTGCCACCCCAATGTCCCCATCCTCATGTCCCCATGGATCTCGGTGCCACCCCAATGTCCCCATCAATCCTGGTGCCACCTCCATGTCCCCATTCCCATGTTCCCATGGATCTCGGTGCCACCTCCAATGTCCCCATCCCCATGTCCCCATTGATCTTGGTGCCACCTCCATGTCCCCATTCCCATGTTCCCATGGACCTTGGTGCCACCCCAATGTCCCCATCCCAATGTCCCCACTGATCCTGGTGCCACCTCAATGTCCCCATCCTCATGTCCCCATGGATCTCAGTGCCACCCCAGTGTCCCCATTGATCTTGGTGCCACCTCTATGTCCCCATCAATCCTGGTGCCACCTCCATGTCCCCACCCCAATGTTCCCATGGATCTCGGTGCCACCCCAGTGTCCCCTCCCTGTCCCCCCGCCATGTCGTGACACCGCCGATGGAGGAAGCTCCGATCCGGGCGCGGCCGCCGCATTCTCCGGCTCTGTGTCACCGCCTGTGCCACCTGTGCGTGCCACCTGTGCGTGTCACCTGCGTGTGTCACCGCCCGCCATCCCCCACCCACCCGCCCGCGTGGGGACAAAGGTCCGGGGCCACCCCCTGTCCCCCCCCTCCCACACCCCAGATATTGTCACTGTCACCGCTGGCGCCGGCCCCACTTGGGGACAGAACGTGGCCGCGGCCATGGGGGGGACACGAGGGACGGTGCTGGTGGCCCTGAGCTGCGCCATCACAGGTGAGGGGACAGGGGGACAGTGGGACAGTGGGAGGGGACATTGGGACAGTCCTGGTGGTGGTCACCTGGTGGTGGTCACCTGGTGGTCCTCACTTGTGCCATCACAGGTGAGGGGACACGGGGACATCACAGGTGAGCAGGGACAGGGGGACATCGGGAGGGGACAGGGGGACACGAGGGACGGTGCTGGTGGCCCTGAGCTGCGCCATCACAGGTGAGGGGACACAGGGACATCACAGGTGAGGATAGACAGAGGGACACAGGGACATCAGGGAAGGGACATTGGGGAGGGGACATTGGGAAGCTCCTGGTGGCCCTCACCTGGTGGTGATCACCTGTGCCATCCCAGGTGAGGATGGACAGGGGGACACTGGGAGGGGACATTGCGAGGGGACAGGGGGACACTGGGAGGGTCCTGGTGGTGGTCACCTGGTGGTCACTTGTGCCATCACAGGTGAGGACGGACAGGGGGACAGGGGGGACATGGGGAAGGAACATTGGGAGTGTCCTGGTGGCCATCGCAGGTGAGGGGGGGACAGGGGGACATTGGGAGGGTCCTGATGGTCCTCACCTGGTGGTGGTCACCTGGTGGTTCCTCACTTGTGCCATCACAGCTGAGCATGGACAGGGGGACATCGGGAGGGGACAGGGGGACATCGGGAGGGGACATTGGGAGGGTCATGGTGGTGGTCACCTGGTGGTGGTCACCTGGTGGTGGTCACCTGCGCCATCACAGGTGAGGATGGACAGGGGGACACGGGGACACTGGGGAGGAAGAGGAGGAGGAGGAGGAGGATGGTGGGGATGGGGGGGATGAAGGTCTTGGAGGGAGAGGGTGAGGAGGAGCAGGGTGAAAAAGAGGGTGGAGAAAAGGAGGATGAGGAAGATGAAGAAGAGGATAAAGAGGGTGGAGAAAAGGAGGAGGAGGAAGATGAAGAAGAGGAGGATGAAGAGGAGGATGAAGAGGAGGACGAATCAGGGTGGGGGAGGTTTGAGGGGTTCAGATCTGAAGGGCTTGGAGGATGAAGACGAGGATGAAGAAGAGGAGGAGGAGGATGGTGGGGACAGGTTGGGTGGACGGGGATGAGGATGAAGAGGGGGAGGGTGAGGAGGAGGAGGATGAAGGAAAGGAAGAGGAGGATGAGGAGGATGAAGGAAAGGAAGAGGAGGATGAAGAGGATGAAGAAGAGGAGGAAGAGGATGAAGATGAGGAGGAGGATGAAGAAAAGGGAGATGAAGAGGAAGAGGATGAGGAAGAGGAGGAGGAATCGGGGTGGGGGAGGTTTGAGGGGTTCAGATCTGAAGGGCTTGGAGGAGGAGGAGGAGGAGGAGGAGGAGGAGGAGGAGGAGGAGGAGGAAGGTGAAGGGGATGAAGAAGAAGAGGAAGAGGAGGAGTTGGGCTGGGAGGGGTCCACGGTCTGAAGGGCTTGGAGGAGGGAGAGGAGGATGAAGAAGAGGAGGGTGATGATGAAGAGCAGGAGGAATTGGGGAGGTTTGAGGGGTTCAGATCTGAAGGCCGTGGAGGAGGAAGAGGAGGAGGAAGAGGAGGAAGAGGAGGAAGAGGAGGAAGAGGAGGAAGAGGAGGAAGAGGAAGAGGTGAAAGGTGGAGACGATGGGGAGAGGCCGGAGGGGGAGGAGGAAGAGGAGGAAGAGGAAGAGGAGGAAGGTGGAGACAACGAGGTGAGGTTGGTCAGTGCTGAGGGTGGGATGAAGGTCTGGGAGGAAGAGGAAGATGACGGGAGGTGGTGAAGGTGAGGAGGAAGGTGAAGAAGAAGAGGGAGGGGATGAAGGACACCAAAAGGAGATGAAGGTCTTGGAGGAGGAGGAGGAGGAGGAGGAGGAGGAGGAGGAGGAAGGTGGAGATGATGCAGAAGGTTGGAAGTGGAGAAGAAACCTTGGATGAAGGTCTTGGAGAAGGAGGAGGATGAGGAGGGTGAAGATGAAGGAAGGTGGAGGAGATGGGGGGACGTTGGATGGGTCAAAGGGAGGAAAGAGGAGGAGGAGGAGGAGGAGGAGGAAGGTCGGGGTCTCCTCCTCCCTGGGAGGGTTTTGGGGGTCTCTGCTCACCCTGGACCTTCTCCTGCAGCCGCCCTCGTGGGGACAACCAGAGCCCAGGGGAGCTCCGGGGAGCTCCTGGACATCAATGGGACCACCACGACCTCCTCGGAGACCACCATGGACATCAATGGGACCACCACGGTCACCTCAGAGACCATCATGGACATCGCAGAGACCACCACGACCACCCCAAGGACGTCCACAACCCTCACAGGGACCTCCAGGGAGCCCATGGTCACCACAGGGACCTCCACAGAGTCCATGGACACCTCAGGAACCTTCACAACCATCACAGGGGCCTCCACAGAGTCCATGGACACCTCAGGAACCTTCACAACCATCACAGGGGCCTCCACAGAGTCCATGGACACCTCAGGAACCTTCACAACCTCCTCAGGGCCCACCACGACCAACACAGGAATCTCCACAACCACATCAAGGACCACCCCGACCATCTCAGTGACCTCCACAACCGTCCCAGAGACCTCCACGACCACCCCTACGACCACCCCTATGAGCACCCCGACCACCATAGGGACCTCCACGACCTCCTCAGGAAGCTCCACAATCACACCGGGGACCACCACCACCTCCTCAGGGTTCTCCACGGCCACCTCAGGGACCACCACAACCACCCCAGAAATGGCACCGACCAGCTCGGAGACCTCCACGACCACCTTAGAGGCCACCACCACCTCCTCAGGGTCCTCCATGACCATCTCAGGGACACCCACAACCACCCCAGTGACCACCACGACCACCTCAGGGACCTCCATAACCTCAGTGACCACCTCGACCATCACAGAGGTGACACCAACCACCTCAGTGACCTCCACAACCGTCCCAGAGACCTCCACGACCACCTCGGGGTCTCCCACAACCACCTCAGTGACCACCACGACCATCCCAGGGACCACCCTGTCCACCACAGGGATCTCCACGACCACCCCAGTGACCACCGTGATCTCAGCGACCACCACGACCACCCCTAAGACCACCTCGACCAGCTCAGGGACCTCTCCAACCTCCTCAGAGACCTCCACGACCACCTCAGGGCCCACCATGACCAACCCAGGAATCTCCACCACCACCCCAAGGTCCTCCACGACCAGCACAGAGACCTCCACCACCTCACTGACCTCCACGACCACCGCAGAGATGACACCAACCAACACAGAGACCTCCACGACCACATCAGGGCCCACCATGCCCACCACAGGGACCACCTCAACCGCCTCAGGGACCTCCACGACTGCACCAGAGACCATCACCACCTCCTCAGTGACCACCACGACTTCAGTGACCGCTCCTAAGGCCACCACGACCACCTCAGGATCATCCACGACCACTCCAGTGACCACCACGACCAACACAGAGGCCACCCCACCCACCACAGGGACCTCCCTGAGCACCACAGAGACCCCACTGTCCACTTCAGAGAGCTCCACGATGATCACAGAGACCTCCACAACCACCTCAGGGACCACCCCGACCTCCTCAGAGACCTCCATGACCAGCCCAGATACCATTGCAACCACCTCAAGGTCCTCCACGACCACCCCAGTGACCACCATGACCTTCCCAGAGACCTCCATGACCTCCTCAGGGTCCACCCCGACCACTCCAGTGACCTCCACGACCACCTCAGGATCGCCCACGACCACCCCTGAGACCATCTCGACCACCACAGGGACCACCCCGACCATCACAGCGTCCATCACGACCACCCCAGAGATGACACCAACCTCCTCAGAGACCTCCACGACCACCCCAGTGACCACCACCACCTCAGTGACCACCCCTGAGACCATCTCGACCACCATAGGGACCATCCCAACCATCACAGGGTCGTCCATGACCACCTCAGGGACCACCACGACCTCAGTGACCACCCCAGGGACCACCACGACCACCTCAGAAATCTCCACAACCACATCAGGGACACCCACAACCACCACAGTGACCACCGTGCCCACCACAGGGACCTCCACGACTTCAGTGACCACCCCGACCATCACAGCGTCCTCCACGACCACCTCAGAGATGACACCAACCTCCTCAGAGACCTCCACGACCACCCCAGTGACCACCACAGCCACCTCAGAAATCTCCACAACCACATCAGGGACACCCACAGCCACCACAGTGACCACCGTGCCCACCACAGGGACCTCCACGACCACCCTAGAGGTGACACCAACCACAGTGACCATTGCAACCACCTCAAGGTCCTCCACGACCACCCCAGTGACCACCATGACCTTCCCAGAGACCTCCACAACCACATCAGGGTCCACCACAACCACCCCAGAGACCTCCACGACTTCAGTGCCCACCCCAGTGACGTCCACGACCACCCCAGTGACCACCCCGACCATCACAGGGTCCTCCACGACCACCCCAGAGATGACACCAACCTCAGTGACCACCCCTGAGACCATCTCGACCACCCCAGTGACCACCACGACCAACACAGGGACCTCCACGGCCACCCCAGTGACATCCACAACCTCCTCAGGGACCACCACGACTTCAGTGACCACCCCAGTGACCACCACAACCACCTCAGAAATCTCCACAACCACATCAGGGACACCCACAACCACCACAGTGACCACCGTGCCCACCACAGGGACCTCCACGACCACCCCAGAGGTGACACCAACCACAGTGACCATTGCAACCACCTCAAGGTCCTCCACGACCACCCCAGTGACCACCACGACCTTCCCAGAGACCTCCACGACCACCCCAGGGCCCACCCCAAGCACCTCAGAGACCTCCACGACCACGTCAGGGATCCCCATCACCACCCCAGTGACCACCGTGCCCACCACAGGGACCTCCACGACTTCAGTGACCACACCTGAGACCATCTTGACCACCACAGGGACCTCCACGACCATCACAGGGTCCTCCACGACCTCCTCAGAGACCACCACAACTTCAGTGACCACTCCTAAGACCACCACGACCACCTCAGGATTGTCCACGACCACTCCAGTGACCACCACGACCCCCTCAGGGACCACCATGCCCACCACAGGGACCTCCACAACCACCCCAGAGTCCACTCCACCCACCACAGAGACCTCCCTGGGCACCACAGGGACCTCCACGAGCACCTCAGTGACCACCCCGATCTCCTCAGAAACCACCACGACCACCCCAGGGACCACCACGACCCCCTCAGAAATCTCCACAACCACATCAGGGACACCCACAGCCACCACAGTGACCACCGTGCCCACCACAGGGACCTCCACGACCACCCCAGAGGTGACACCAACCAACTCAGAGACCTCCACGACCACCCCAGTGACCACCACCACCTCAGTGACCATCCCTGAGACCATCTCGACCACCACAGGGACCTCCCCGACCATCACAGGGTCCTCCACGACCTCCTCAGAGACCACCACAGCCACTGCAGGAACCTCCACGACCGCCTCAGGAAGCTCCACAAGCACCTCAGTGACCACCACAACCACCCCAGAGATGCCACCAACCAACTCAGAGACCACCACGACCGCGCCAGTGACCACCACGACCTTCTCAGGGACCTCTCCAACCTCCTCAGAGACCACCACGACCGCCCCAGTGACCACCACCAGCACCACCTCAAGGACCACTGCGACCACTCCTAAGACCACCACAACCTCCTCAGGGTCCTCCACGACCACTCCAGAGATGACTCCAACCTCCTCGGTAACCACCACAACCACCTCAGGGACCACCCCGACCATCACAGGGACCTCCACGACCACCTCAGAGACCACCACGACCATGACAGAGACCACCATGACCACCCCAGGGTCCACCATGACCACCTCAGAGGCCATCACGACCACCCCAGTGACCTCCACAACCTCTCCGGTGACCACGACATCCACATCAGGGACCACCACAACCTTCCCAGGGACCACCACAACCACAGTGACCACCACGACCTCAGGGACCTCCACAACCCCTCCAGAGACCTCCACGACCTCCTCAGGGACCACCACGAGCACATCAAGAACCACAATGACCAGCCCAGAGATCTCCACGACCACCCCAGCAAGCTCCACGACCACGTCAGGGACCACCGTGATCTCCACGACCACCACGAGCACCCCAGAGACCTCCACGACCTCCTCAGGCTCCACCACGACCACCCCGGTGAGCACCTCAACCACCTCAGGGACCTCTGTGGCCACCCCAGAGACCACCACAACCACCACAGGGACCTCCACCACCTCCTCAGAGACCACCATGACCACCCCAGCGACCACCACAACCCTTCCAGGGTCCACCATGACCACCTCAGAGACCATCACGACCACCCCAGAGATCTCCACGACCTCCTCAGGCTCCACCTCGACCACCCCCGAGACCACCACGACCTCAGGGACCTCCACAACCCCTCCAGAGACCTTCGCAACCTCCTCGGGGACCACCATGACCACTCCTAAGACCACCACAACCACCCCGGAGACCTCCACGGCCACCCCAGTGACCTTCACAACCTCTACAGTGACCCCCACGACCACCCCAGAGACCTCCACGACCTCAGTGACCACTACAAGCATCCCAGAGACCACCACGGCCTCCTCAGGGACCTCCCCAACCACCTCCTGGACCACTTCATCCACCTCAGGGACCACCACGACCAACACAGAGACCACCACCAGCTCCTCAGGGTCCACCACGACCACCTCAGTGCTCACCACAACCACCCCAGAGGCCACCACGACCTCAGGGTCCACCATGACCCCTCCAGAGACCTCCACGACCACTCCTACGACCACCCCGACCTCGTCAGGGTCCACCACGACCACCTCAGGGAGCTCCACAGAGGCCTCCACAACCTTCCCGGTGACCACCACGACCACCCCAGTGACCTTCACAACCTCTCCAGTGACCACCACGACCATCCCAGAGACCTCCACGACCTCAGTGACCACTACAACCATCCCAGAGACCACCACGACCACCTCAGGGACCTCCCCAACCACCTCCTGGACCACTTCATCCACCTCAGGGACCACCACGGCCAACACAGAGACCACCACCAGCTCCTCAGGGTCCACCACGACCACCTCAGTGCTCACCACAACCACCCCAGAGGCCACCACGACCTCAGGGTCCACCATGACCCCTCCAGAGACCTCCACGACCTCCTCAGGGACCACCATGACCACCCCAGTGACCTCCTCGACCAGCTCAGGGACCTCTCCAACCTCCTCAGAGACCTCCACAACCTCCTCAGGGACCACCACGAGCACATCAAGAACCACAACGACCAACCCAGAGATCTCCACGACCACCCCAGCAAGCTCCACGACCACGTCAGGGACCACCGTGATCTCCACGACCACCACGAGCACCCCAGAGACCTCCACGACCTCCTCAGGCTCCACCATGACCACACCTAAGACCACTGCCACCACCTCAGGGACCACCACCACCTTCCCAGAGCCCACCACGACCTCATGGCCCAGCACCAGCTCCTCAGGGACCACCCCAACCTCCTCAGAGACCACCACAACCACCACAGGGACCTCCACGACGTCCTCAGGGACCACCACGACCACACCTAAGACCACCATGACCACAACAGTGACCACCATGACCTCAGGGACCTCCACAACCTCCTCAGGGACCACCACGAGCACTCCAGAGGCCACCACGAGCACCCCGGAGACCTCCACGACCATGTCAGGGACCACCGTGATCTCCACGACCACCCCGAGCACCCCGGAGACCTCCACGACCTCAGGGACCACCATGAACCCACCACTGACCACCACGACCACCTCAGGGACCACCTCGACCACCTCGGGGACCTCCACAACCTCAAGGACCTCCACAATCACCTCAGGGACCACCACGATGACATCAGTGTCCACCACGAGCGCCTCAGAGACCACTCCAACCACCCCAGGGACCTCCACGACCTCAGAGACCTCCACGACCTCTCCAGAGACCTCCACGACCTCCTCAGGGTCCACCATGACCACCCCAGTGACCTCCACGACCACCTCAGAGACCACCACGACCACCCCAGCAACCTCCACCACCTCCCCAGAGACCACCACCGCCTCCTCAGGGTCCACCACGGCCTCCTCAGTGACCTCCACAACCTTCCCAGAGCCCACCACGACCTCAGGGACCTCCACGACCCCTCCAGAGACCTCCACGACCTCCTCAGGGACCACCATGACAACTGCTAAGACCACCACGACCAACCCAGAGATCTCCACGACCACCTCAGGGACCTCCACATCCTCAGGGACCTCCACGACCACCCCAGTGATGACACCAACCCCCTCAGAGACCTCCACGACCTTTACAACCACCACGACCACCCCAGTGACCACCACCACCACCGCAGAGGCCACCAGGACCTCAAGGACCTCCACGACCCCTCCAGAGACCTCCACGACCATCTCAGTGACCTCCACAACCTCTCCAGTGACCACGACATCCACACCAGGGACCACCACGACCACCCTGGTGACCACCACGATCTCAGAGCCCACCACGACCACCCCGGTGAGCACCTCAACCACCTCAGGGACCTCTGTGGCCACCCCAGAGACCACCAGCACCTCAGAGGCCACTCCAACCACCCCAGTGACCACCACCACCTCCTCAGGGACCTCCACGACCACCTCAGAGACCACAACGACCACCCCAGGGATCTCCACAACCCTTCCAGGGACCACCACGACCACTCCAGAGATCTCCACGACCTCCTCAGCATCTACCGCGACCACTCCCAAGACCTCCACGACCATCTCGGTGACCTCCACAACCTCTCCAGTGACCACGACATCCACACCAGGGACCACCACGACCACCCCGGTGACCACCACAACCTTCCCAGGGACCACCTCAAGCACCTCAGGGACCTCTGTGGCCACCCCAGGGACCACCACCACCTCCTCAGGGACCACCACGACCTCAGGGACCTCCACAACCCCTCCAGAGACCTCCAAAACCTCCTCAGGGACCACCATGACCACCCCGGGGACCTCCACGACCACCCCGGGGACCTCCACATCCACCTCCTGGACCACCTCAACCCCCTCTGGGACCACCGCCACCTCCTCAGGCTCCACCACGACCAACCCAGGGACCTTCACGACTTCCCCAGAGACCATCACGGCCTCAGGGACCTCCACGACATCCTCAGGGTTCACCACGACCACCTCAGGGACCTCCACAACTGCACCAGGGACCTCCACGATCTCAGTGACCACTACAACCATCCCAGAGACCACCACCACCACCTCAGGATCCACCACAACCACCCCTAAGACCACCATGACCACCTCGGGGACCTTCACCACCACCTCAGGGACCTCCACGACTTTCCCAGAGACCACCACGACCTCAGAGCCCGCCACAACCACCTCGGGGACCTCCACGACCTCCTCAGGGTCCACCACGACCACCCCAGAGATCACCACGACCACCTCGTGGACAACCTCGCCCACCTCAGGGACCTCTGTGGTCACCCCAGAGACCACCCCAACCACCCCAGGGACCACCACGACCTCAGGGACAACCACGACCATCTCAGAGACCTCCACAACCATCTCAGGGAGCTCCACCACCTCCTCAGGGTCCACCATGACCACCTCAGGGACCTCCACAGCCACACCAGAGACCCCAAAGACCACCTCAGGGACCACCATGACCTCAATGACCTCCACGACCTTGCCAATGACCACCACCTCCTCCTCAGGGTCCACCACGACCTCCTCAGTGACCTCCATGACCACGCCAGAGACCACCACGACCTCAGGGACCTCCACGACCACCTCAGGGACAACCACAGCCACCCCAAAGACCACCACGACCTCCTCAGTGACCTCCACAACCTTCCCAGAGCCCACCACCACCTCAGTGACCTCCACAACCATCCCAGAGACCACCACGACCACACCAGAGACGCCCACAACCACCTCAGCGTCCACCACGACCACCCCAGGGACCTCCACGACCACATCAAGGACACCCACAACGACCTCAGGGCCCACCACAACCTCCTCATGGACCACCCCGACCACCTCAGGTACCTCCACAACCTCCTCTGGGCCCACCACAACCACCTCAGGATCCACCACGAGCACCTCTGGGACCTCCACAACCACCACTGGGACAACCACGGCCACCCCAAAGACCACCACGACCTCAGGGCCCACCACAACCTCCTCATGGACCACCCCGACCACCTCCTGGACCACCCCGACCACCTCAGGTACCTCCACGACCTCCTCAGGGCCCACCACAACCTCACGGACAACCACGGTGCTGACCTCCACCACCTCCACCACGGCTCCTCCTCCACCAGGTGAGTCCTCCCCAGGTGAGCTCCGCCTTCTCCTGGAGGCGTCCCCGGGGCTGTCCCTGATGTCCCCATGGTGTCCCACCAGGGCTGTGTGAGAACGGGGGGACACCCAGCGCCACCGGTTGTCTCTGCTCGCCGTCCTACGCCGGAGCACGCTGCGAGTTCTCCACCGACACCGTGGACACCAACCTGCGTGAGTGGTGGGGCCACCTCGCCCCTGGGGGGCCTGGGATGGGGGCCTGGGCACCTTGGAGGTCCTGATCTTCTTGGGGTTCCTCAGCACCTTGGGGGTTCTGGTTATCTTGGAGGTTCTGGGCTTCTTGGGGGTCCTGGGCTTCTTGGAGGTTCTGGGCACCTCGGTGGTCCTTCCTGGTGTTTTTGGGGTCATTGTCTTCTTGGGGGTCCTGGTCCTCTTGGTGGTCCTGGGCACCTTGGGGTTCCTCAACACCTTGGTGTTCCTGGGCTTCTTGGGGGTTCCTGATCTTCTTGGTGGTCCTGGTGGTTTTGGGGGTTTTGATGTTCTTGGGGGTCTTGGTCTTCTTGGGGTTCCTCAGCACCTTGGGGGTTCTGGTTATCTTGGAGGTTCTGGGCTTCTTGGGGGTCCTGGGCTTCTTGGAGGTTCTGGGCACCTCGGTGGTCCTTCCTGGTGTTTTTGGGGTCATGGTCTTCTTGGGGGTTCCTGGTCTTCTTGGTGGTCCTGGGCACCTTGGGGTTCCTCAACACCTTGGTGTTCCTGGGCTTCTTGGGAGTTCCTGGTCTTCTTGGTGGTCCTGGTGGTTTTGGGGGTTTTGATGTTCTTGGGGGTCTTGGTCTTCTTGGGGTTCCTCAGCACCTTGGGGGTTCTGGTCTTCTTGGGGGTTCTGGTGGTTTTGGGGGTCCTGGGCACCTTGGGAGTTCTGGGCATCTTGGTGGTCTTGGTCTTCTTGGAGGTCTTCAGCACCTTGGGGGTTCTGGTCATCTTGGAGGTCCTCACCCCCATCCCACCCCACCAACTCCACTTCTCCCCATTGCTCCTCCAGCGTTCCCTGGCACCATCATGGCCGCCGTGGACATGGAGGTGACCCTCACCAACTTCAACTACACCGAGGACCTCCAGGACCCCAACTCGGAGACCTTCCTGTCCTTCCAGAACCTCTTCCGGCAGGAGGTGAGCACCTGGGGCGACCACGGCGTCCCACCACGGCCACCAAGGTGACCACAGAGGTGACCACAGAGGTGACCACAGAGGTGACTACAGAGGTGACCAAGGTGACCTTCTGCCCTTCTTGCAGATCAAGAAGATCTACGGGACCATCGCTGGTTATGAAGGCGTGAAGATCACCAGCCTCAAGTAAGGAGGTCCCTGACCACCCCCAAGGGCTGGGGTGGGGTGGGATGTCCTCAGAACCCCCCTTGTGACCTCCCGTGTCCTCTCCCTGAAGGTCCGGCAGCGTCGTGGTGGGACACCAGGCGTTCTTCACCATGGCCCAGAGCAGCAACACCACCGAGGGGTTCCAGGAGACCACGGAGGAGATGGTGGAGAACCTGCGGGAGGCGGCGGCCGGCCAGGGCGAGTGCCAGCACAACACCTGTGGGTGACCTCCTGAAGCCCCCCCAGATCCTCCTGGAGCCCTTGTGGGACCTCCCCTGGACCTCCGGCCGGGGTCCGTCCGAGGGTGGTGGTCCCTGATGTCTTCTCCTCCCACCGCAGCCGTGCTGTGCCTGGTGCTGAGGGACAACCCCGTGGTCGGCGCCATGAGGGAGGTGAAGGACCTGGATGGTGAGCATGGCGTGGAGACCTTGGGCACCCCGTGGACCTTCCTGACCACTCCATTGTCCCCTCCTGACCATCCCATGCACCTTCTGACCACCCCATGGACCTTCTGACCATCCCATTGTCCCCTGACCATCCCATGGACCTTCTGACCATCCCATGGACCTTCTGACCACCTCATTGTCCCCTAACCACCCCATGGACCTTCTGACCACCCCACCACCCTCTGACCGTCCCATGGACCTTCCTGACCACCCAACATCAACTGTCCCTCACCCAACATCTCTTGTCCTTCACCCACCACCCCTTGACCACCTCATGGACCCTCCTGACCATCCCATTGTCCCCTTCTGACCATCCCATGGACCCTCTTGACCACCCAGCATCTCCTGTCCCTCACCCCCCCTCCGTGTCCCCTCGTTGTCCCCTCCGTGCAGAGCTGTGCCACCAGCGAGCCCCCCCGGGCTACGGCGCCTTCTTCTGGCCGGTGGTGACCTCGGGGGTCCTGCACTGCGTCACCTCCTGCACGCCCAACCGGCCCCAGAGCCTGGAGTGCCACCACGGCCGCTGCCACGTCACCCGCCAGGGACCGCAGTGCTTGTGAGTGCCACCAAAGGGGTCCCAGATCCAACCGTGGGGTCCCAGAACCTGTCCCAGATCCCACCAAGGGGTCCCAGATCCCACCATGGGGTCCCAGACCCCACCAAGGGGTCCCAGAACCTGTCCCAGATCCCACCAAGGGGTCCCAGACCCCACCAAGGGGTCCCAGAACCTGTCCCAGATCCCACCATGGGGTCCCAGATCCTACCAAGGGGTCCTGCAACCCACCATGAGGTTACATTGTCCACCACGGGGTCCTAGAACCTGTCATGGTGTCATAGATCCCACCAAGGGGTCCCAGATCCCACCACAAGGTCACAAGGGCCACCATGGGGTCCCAGAACCCACCAGGTCACCCGCCAGGGACCGCAGTGCTTGTGAGTGCCACCATGGGGGTCCCAGACCCCACCAAAGGGGTCCTGGAACCCACCATGGGGTCACAATGTCCACCATGAGGTCCCAATGTCCATGATGGGGTCCCAACATCCACCATGGGGTTCCAATGTCCACCACAAGGTCCAACACCCCTTGAGGGAGATCTCAATGTCCACCACGAGGTTCCAATGTCCATGATGGGGTCCCACCACCCATTGGGGGATCCCAACGCCCACCATGAGGTCCCACCACCCATTGGGAGGTCCCAATGTCCACCATGAGGTTCCAATGTCCATGATGGGGTCCCACCACCCATTGGGATGTCCCAATGTCCATGATGGGGTCCCACCACCCATTGGGGGGTCCCAATGCCCACCACGAGGTCCCACCACCCATTGGGATGTCCCAATGTCCATGATGGGGTCCCACCACCCATTGGGATGTCCCAATGTCCATGATGGGCTCCCACCACCCATTGGGATGTCCCAATGTCCATGATGGGGTCCCACCACCCATTGGGGGGTCCCAACGCCCACCACGAGGTCCCACCACCCATTGGGATGTCCCAATGTCCATGATGGGCTCCCACCACCCATTGGGGGGTCCCAACGTCCACCACGAGGTCCCACCACCCATTGGGATGTCCCAATGTCCATGATGGGGTCCCACCACCCATTGGGGGGTCCCAATTCCCACCACGAGGTCCCAGCCCCGTGTCCCCCCGCAGCTGCCCGGACCAGGAGCTGTTCTGGTACGCGGGCCCGCGGTGCTCGGGCCGGGTCAGCAAGGTGGGCACCGGGCTGGGCGTGGCCGTGGCGCTGCTCTTCCTCACCGTGCTCATCCTCGTCGCCGCGCTGCTCTGCCGCCGCCGCCGCCGCAGCTACCAAAGGTACCGGAACGGGGAGGGGGTCCCAGTTTGGGGTCCCAGTTTGGGGGGGTCTCCCAGTTTGGGTTCCCAGTTTGGGAGGGGGCTCCCAGTTTGGGTTCTGACTGGGGAGGGGGCTCCCAGTTTGGGGAGGGGGCTCCCAGTTTGGGTTCCCAGTTTGGGGAGGGGGCTCCCAGTTTGGGGTCCCAGTTTGGGGGGGTCTCCCAGTTTGGGAGGGGGCTCCCAGTTTGGGTTCTGACTGGGGAGGGGGCTCCCAGTTTGGGTTCTCCCAGTTTGGGTTTCCCATTTGGGAGGGGGCTCCCAGTTTGGGGGGGTTCTCCCGGTCTGGGTTCCCAGTTTGGGGGGCTCCCAGTTTGGGATGGGTTCCCAGTTTGGAGGGGGGGTCCCAGTTTGGGTTCCCAGTTTGGGTTCTGACTGGGGAGGGGGCTCCCCGTTTGGGTTCTCCCATTTTGGGGGGGATCTCCCAGTTTGGATTCCCAGTTTGAGGAGGGGAATCTCCCAATTTGGTTTCCCAGTTTGGGGTGGTATCTCCCAATTTGGATTTTGGGGAGGGGTCTCCCAGTTCATATTCCCAGTTTGGGGGTGGGATCTCCCAGTTCAGATTTTGGGGAGGGGTCTCCCGCTCCAGTTTTCCCAGTTTGGGGGTGGTATCTTCCAGTTTGGATTTTGGGGAGGGGTCTCCCAGTTCAGATTCACAGTTTTGGGGGGGGGGGGGATCTCCCAGTTTGGGGCGATATCTCCCAAATTGGGGATTTTGGGGAGGGGTCTCCCAGTTCAGATCCCCAGTTTGGGGCGATATCTCCCAACTTGGGGATTTTGGGGAGGGGTCTCCCAGTTCAGATCCCCACTTTGGGGGTGGTATCTCCCAACTTGGGGATTTTGGGGAGGGGTCTCCCAGTTCAGATCCCCAGTTTGGGGTGGTATCTCCCAAATTGGGGATTTTGGGGAGGGGTCTCCCAATTCTCACCCCCCCCCTTTCCCCTCCCCCAGTGACCTCCCCCCCTATTTTGGGGGCTCTTGGTACGAGCTGGACGATTTCTCCTGGCCCCCCCCGCGCGGCTCCGTCATCCCCAACCCGGGGGTCGCCGCCCCCCCCCGCCGCCCCCAGACCCAATTCGAGGACCCCGAGACCTGGACGAGACCCCCGGGACCCCCCCAGGGGGGTTTGGGGGGTTCCCCCGCCTTCAGACCCTCCTTGGAGAGGGTGGATCCCTTCCTGCAGGTACGTGCACCCCTGCCAGGACCCAAAAATGATCCCAAATCCCCTGCCAGGACCCCAAAGAGACCCCACATCCCTTCCAGGACCCAAAAATGATCCCAAATCCCCTGCCAGGACCCTAAAATGACCCTAAATCCCCTGCCGGGACCCAAAAATGATCCCAAATCCCCTTCC